CTGCCCAGGCGGGTCTCGAACCCACGGGCTCAGGCAGTACACTCACCTCAGCCTCCCAAAGCACGGGATGACAGGCTGAGCCACCGAGCCCGGCTGTATATATTTTTTAAATTTAAAAAAAAAATGTATTTTTTATTTTTGTAGAGACAGGGCCTTGCTTTGTTGCCCAAGCTGGTCTCAAACTCCTGGGCTCAAGCCATCCTCTCACCTTGGCCTCCCAAAATGCTGGGATTGCAGGCGTGAGCCACTGTGCCCGGCCTCCAAGATATATTAATTTTTTCCAATATGCTACACATACAGAATGTCCCTGAGGAAGTCCTACAGGTATTTATTTCATTTGTGATTTTAGTTTTTCTTTTTTTTTTAAGAGACAAGATCTCACTTTGTTGCCCAGGCTGGAGTACAGTGGTACAATCATAGCTCACTGCAGTCTCAGGTTCCTGAAGGCTCAAGGATCCTCCTTCCTCAGCCTCTAGAATAGCTGGGACTATTCCATAGTATGCACCACTATGCTCAGCTAATTTTCAATTTTTTGTAGAGACAGGGTCTCGATATATTTCCCCGCTAGTCTCAAAGTCCTGGCATCAGGCAATCTTCCTGCCTTGGCTTCTCAAGATGCTGAGATTACAGGTGTGAGCCAATCACATTAGCCTATTTCATGTATAACTTTAATGTTGATTTTATTGACTTTTACACTAATGACTAAGAGTGCCACTTATTAGTGCATGAGCATATTGAGGGTAATCTGTTTTTATACTAGTAAATTATGGCTAATAATAATTCCTGCTGTATAGAACTGTTCTGAGAGTTAAATTAGCTCATCTATGTAAAGCTCTTGGAACATAGTAGACAATAAGTGTAAGCTCTTTATTATTATTACAAGTCTGTAAAATGTAAAAGAGGAACAACTTTATATGAAGAGATTAATTTATTTGGTTCAAAGGAAGATTTCAGCTTTTTCCATTTTGTTTCAGAGAACTGATAACCATAGAAGTTGTGACAACTTATAGGATATTTATTACTGTATTCTTGTGAATCACCCCAAAACGTAGTGGACTAAAATAAGAGCTCACTGTTATTTCTCATGGGTCTAGGGATTGGCAAGCATGTGGGTGGGTCTTACCAGTGCCCTCACACAGGTGGCCAGTGGTGGCCTGTGGCTGGAGTTGAATGAAGATTTCCTCATCTGCGTGTTTTGTGTTGGCTGGGACGGCTAGAACTCTGAGTGGCCTCACATAGTACTAGTGTGGGCTTCTCTGTAGCATGGTGGTCCTGTAGAGCCATTTGTCTTACATGGCAGCAGGCTTTCCCCAGAGCAAGCATTCCAAGACAACCGATGAACACTGGGAGGCTTTTATGCCCTAGCCTTGCAGGTCCAGAATGTCACCTATGCCTCTCTCTGTTCGTCAAAGCAAATTATGAAGGTCAGCCCAGGTTCAAGGACTGTGGGGATTAGACATCACTACTCAGGAGGAAGAGTACCAAAGAATCTGCAACCATATTTAATCTACCACAGCAACTCTGACGGTTCACTAAATTTAAAATAAAATGAAGAAATAAAAAAGTAAATGTGGCCGGGCTCGGTGGCTCAGCCTGTAATCCCACGCTTTGGGAGGCCGAGGTGAGTGAATTGCCTGACCCCACAGGTTCGAGACCCGCCTGGGCAACTTGGCGAGACCTCGTCTCTACAATAAATCAAAAAAATTAGCTGGGCATGGTAGCTCGCGCCTGTAGTTCCAGCTACTTGGGAGGCTGAGGCGGAAGGATCGCTGGAGGCCAGCAGGTTGAGGCTGCGGTGGCTGGGAGTGGCCACTGCACTCCAGTCTGGGCAACAGAGTGAGACTCCAACTCAAAAAAAAAAAAAAAAAAGTAAAGGCCAGGTGTGGTGGCTCACGCCTGTAATCCCAGCACTATGGGAGGCTGAGGCAGGGTGATTGCTTGAGCTCAGGAATTTCGAGACCAGCCTGGGCAATGTAGCAAGACCTCATCTCTAAAAAAATATAACAATAAAATTAAAAAGTAAAGGTAAAATTGTGCAGCATTTTGTATCCAGTTATTTAAACTGGACTTTTCAAACTGTACATACAAGCCACAGCCCTTCAGGCCCTCTAGTTTCTTTTTTTTTAGTTTTCTGGCTATCCTTCCGCCTCAGCCTTCCAGGTCGCTGGAACTACAGGCGCGTGCTACCACGCCCGGCTAATTTTTTTTTTTTTTTTGTAGAGATGAGGTCTCACCAAGTTTCCCAGACCAGTCTCGAACCCTCGGGCTCAGACAATCCACTCACCTCAACCTCCCAAAGCATGGGATTACAGGCTGAGCCACCGAACCTGGCTTGGCCCTCTATTTTCTATTGCTAGGGAAGTTTCTTAGAAGGCTTCTGTAGTCATTTATGCTGCATTTTTTTCAAAATCTCCTAGGTTGGAGTGTCATTGCCCTCAGCCAGGAACATAAGTCATTCTTCCTAGAAAATAAGGCAAATTCCAATTAAACGTAAAGTCTGTGAAAGTTAGATTTTGCCGAATTTTATTTAGGTTTCTTTTCCAAATGTTCATATGTTCTCTGTTTCTTTAAACATTGCAAATAGACTGGGGTCTGTGTTCTTAGACACCAGAAGGGACCGCAGGTATTCTGTTGTGGTACCTGAGCATACGAAGTGATCTGACTTGGATTGTATTTATTTTTGTAGATTAAAAGTAAGTTTTTACTTTGACTTAATCATTAAAGTATATGTGTTCATGTAGTATGTACATTTTGGATTTTAAAAGTTTATGTTTTTAAAAGTGTGAATCTAGAGAACTCAGGAAATAAGAAATGGACTAGTCTTACACTGATTTAAAGCCTACTTTGCAGTTGTGCTCAGTGACTCAGCCTGTAATCCCAGCACTTTGGGAGGCCGAGATGAGTGGATTGCCAGAGCCCTTGGGCTCAAGACCTGCCCAGGCAACTTGGTGAGATCTCATCTCTACAATAAGTCAAAATTAGGTGGACTTGGTAGCACGTGCCTGTAGTTCTAGCTACTTGGAAGGTTGAGACAGAAGGATCGCCGGAGTCCAGCAGGTCGAGGCTGTGGTGGCAGGGAACCTGCCACTGCACTCCAGTCTGGGCAACAGAGTAAGACTCCAGCTCAAAAAATAAATAAATAAAACATACTTTGCAGCTACATTTTGAAGGTTTTCATTCTGATCACTTACCAGTATAATGCTAGAATGATCCCTGTTTAGATCTTTGCCCCATCTTAAATTCTTGGCTAAAGTCTATTAGGTAACTTCGAGAAAGAGGAGACTTGAAAACCCTCTTTGTTGTTTGTTTTAAGTTGGAGTCTCTCTGTCTTCTAGGCTGGAGTACAGTGGTCCACTTATGGCCACTGCAGCCTTGACCTGCTGGACTCAGGCCATCCTTCTGCTTCAGCCTTCCAAGTAGCTGGATTCATGGGTGTGTGCCACCATGCCTGGCTAATTTTTTGATTCATTGTAGAGATGAAATCTCACCAAGTTGCCCAGGCTGGTCTTGAACCCCTGGACTCAGGCAGTCCTCTCACCTTGACCTCCCAAAGTGCTGGGATTACAGGTGTGAGCCACCTGGCCCAGCTGCCCTATTCTTTGAAGAAGGGACCTCACTTAATGTGGTCTGCTGGGTACTTATCAGATGTTTCCTTAATATAATTCCATCCTGCCTCCTACTTCACTCTGGACGGCTACTCTCCAGGACCGTTCTGTCTTTATATTCTGGTTCTTCTTTTAGTGGGCGCTGGGGAAAGGGACAGGCAGCTCAGGAATTTCCTTTCTTTTGACTCTATTTTGGATTCCTTATTTCCTATATCCCACATTTCCTTCTTTCTCATAATACTCCCTCATAATGGTAGAGTATATTCTCCAGTAGTTTCTTGGGAGTGCGGGGGAGATCATTTTAAGATAATTTTGGATATTAGCAGAAGGAAATGTCTTTGATCTACCATATTGCTTGATAATAATTCTGGCACTACTGAATTCGAGGTTGGTCACGTTTTCCCTGAGCTGTGTGAGGGTGCTGCCCGCTGACCCCTGAGGATGCTACCCTCTGTCCCCCCAGGGTGCTGTCCACTATCCCATGTGGGTGCTGCCCGCTGTCCCTCGAGGGTGTTGTCCGTTTTCCTTCCGGTGGTGCTGATCAGAAATGTGATGCTATGCTGATTTCCATTCTGTGTCTCGTCATTTCTTCCATCACACCCTCTGTCTGAAAGGTTTTATTGTTTAAAAACCTTTATTGGGGACAGATAATGCATAACTTTTTCTACTCATCTTGTCCAGTAACCCAAGTTCCTCTTCCTATAGTAATGAGTGCCACCATTTGTTTGTTTGTTTGCAAATCCTTTTCTGGAAGCTTTTAAGACCTTTACTTTCTCTTGAGTGCATCAAGAAATTTTATTTGTGCCTTGACATGAGTCTTTGTTTCCATTAATTGTGCTGTTTTGGTGCTTGGTAGATCCTTACAAATTGCAGACCTGTGTCCTTTGGCTCTGTGACACTTTTTTTTTTATTTTTAAATTTTTTTTATAATCAATATTTTTTATTATGATATTGTGGGGTACAGTTAAGGGTTAGGTATACAAATATGCTTCATTCAGGCACTCTTGTTGATAAGAGGTGTCTCCCCGTCCTCAGACAGCTATTTATGACCGTTAATCCCATCTCCCTTCCCCTCTCCCCCCCATAGTTTCCCACCACTGTCAGTCATTTTCTTATAGTCTTACGCTGGATGTTCAAGGTCCACTATATGAGTGAGAACATGTGATACTCAGAGACACTTTCTTTTTAAGTATTTTCATAGTTCTGTCTTTCAGAAACTCCCATTTATAAATCCCTTGTATTTAGCGTCTAATTGTCTTTCTTTCTTTTTTTTTTTTTGTCATTTAGTTTTTATTTCTCTGCAATCCAACTAGATGTGGAAGGGAATAAGGAATATATGGAACCCAAAGAATTGTAGCGAGAGCACAAAGATTATAGGGATACTGCGAGCAAATGGGATGGAGGGGGTGCTCTCCTGAGCTACAGAAGGAATGATCTGGTAGTTTAAGATAAAACAAGTCAAATATATTAGAGTTGTCCACAGTCAGCAATGGTGATCTTCTTGCTGGTCTTGCCATTCTGGGACCCAAAGCCCTCCACGGCTTGCACAACTTGCATGCCCCCTTACACCTTGCCAAAAACCACATGCTTGCCATCCAACCATTCAGTCTTAGTAGTGCAGATGAAAAACTGGGAACCTTTTGAGTTGGGTCCAGCATTTGCCATGGACAAGATGCCGGGACCTGTATGCTTCAAGATGAAGTTCTCATCATCAAATTTCTCCCCATAGATGGACTTGCCACCAGTGCCATTATGGCGTGTAAAGTCACCACCCTGGCACATAAACCCTGGAATAATTCTGTGAAAGCAGGAACCATTATACCAAATCCTTTCTCTCCAGTACTCAGAGCACGAAAGTTTTCTGCTGTCTTTGGAACTTTGTCTGCAAACAGCTCGAAGGAGACGCGGCCCAAAGGCTCGCCGTCGACGGCGATGTCGAAGAACACGGTGGGGTTGACCATGGCTGATGGGAAAAGGCTCAAGGTGGCGGCGTCTGCAAAGCCTAATTGTCTTTCTTTTCTGTCTTCTCTTTCTTTAATTTTTCTTTTTTAGACTGAGAAATTGAGTATATCCATATAAGCTTTCCCTTAGTCATCATCTTCAGTCTGAAATTGCATATGCACACTCTTCTATATCTGGTATCCTTGAGTCCAGAGAATATACTGTGTGGGAGTGGGAGAAGGCAAAATGACCTCCCTGATGTAGGAGGAAGTAGTAATAGGGCAGGCTCTGTGTTAAATTTTTTTCTTTTTGACAGCTTTATTGAGTACAATTCACATACCAAGCAGTCTATCCATTTAAAGTGTACAATTAATTGTTTTTTAGTTTTAGTTTTGTTTTGTGTTGCTTTGTCTTGAGTCAGAGCTCACTCTGTCGCCCAGGCTGGAGTGCAGTGGCATGTTCACAGCCACCCCAGCCTCAACCTGCTGGTCTCAGGTGATCCTTCCACCTCAGTCTTCCAAGTAGCTGGAACCACAGGCATATACCACCACACCTGGCTGATTTTCTGATTTATCGTAGAGATGAGGTCTGGCCATGTGGCTCAGGCTGGTCTTGAACCCCAGAGCTCAGACAGTCTCTCACCTCCACCTCCCAAAGTGCTGGGATTACAGGCATGAGTCACCATGCCCTGCTGTTTTTTAGTTTTTTACAGTGTTGTGCAACCATCACCATGAACTAATTTTAGAATATTTTCACTCCCCCTTAAAAGAATGCCTATTAGCATTCACTCGATACTCTCTCCCTTTCCCCTAAGCCCCTGGCATTCAGTATTCTACTTCTTATCTTTATGAATTTGCCTATTTTGAACATTTCACATAATGGAATCATGTAATATTGTGCTCTTTTATGTCTAGCTTCTTTACTTAGCACAAGGTTTTCAAGATTCATACATGTTGTTGCATGTAACAGCACTCCACCTCTTTTATGACTGAACAGTAATCCATTGCGTGTGTATGCCATATCTAGTTTATGCGTTGATCACTTGATGGACATTTGGGTGGTTTCCGTTTTTTGGCTGTTGTGAAAATTGCTGCTGTGAACATAGGTGTGCAAGGTTTTGCATGGCATATGCTTTTTTTTCTCTTGGGTTTTTCCTTAGGAGTGGGATTGCTAGGTCATATGGTAACTCTGTTTGACTTTTGAAGAACTACTGCTTTCCAAAGTGGTGGCACCATTTTACCTCTCCAGCAATGGATAAGGTGCCCTCCCTGTTTTTCATGTCATCTTTCTGGCATTTTATGGTCTAGCCTTAATGCTTACCTACTTTGTTGCCTGTTGTGTCCAGTGTTTAAGACTCTAAAGAGGCTGGGCATGGTGACTCATGCCTGTAATCCCAGAACTTTGTGAGGCGGAGGCGAGAGGATTGCCTGAGTCCAGGAGTTCGAGACCAGAATGGGCAACTTGGTGAGACCTTGTCTCTACAATAAATTTTTAAAAATTAGCTGGATGTGGTGGTTTGGTTCCAGCTTCTTGGAAGGCTGAGGGTGGAAGGATTGCCTGAACCCAGCAAGTCGAGGCTGTAGTGGCCATGAGCGTGCCATTACACTTCAGCCTGGGTGACAGAGTGAGACTGATTTAAAAAAAAAAACCCTCAAGAGCTCCATACAATGAGTTTGCTTGATTTTCATTGAATTCCACTCTTTAAGGACATAGCTGTGACCTTCTAAATCTAAGTCATTTACTGTTTGTATTCCTTTCCTAAGGACTGCTGTAACAAAGGGCCAGAAACCAAGTGACTTAAAACAACAAAAATTTATCGTTTCATCATTTTGGAGGATAAAAGTGTGGGGTCAAAGTGTCAGCAGGGCCTGTTTCCTGATGGCTCTAGAGAAGAATGATGGTGCGTTCCTTGGCTTGTAGACGTATCACTCCACTCACATGGCGTCTTCCTGTGCATCAGACATTGTCTTGTGTGTACCCTCGTGCATGTCTGTTTCTCTGTCCAAATTTGCCCTCTTTATAAGGACATTGGCGCCTCCTGATGTCCTCATTTTAACTTGATAACCTCTGTAAAGACCCAATTTCCAGCGAAAGTTGTACTCTTCAAGGGCTAGGACTTCGAATATTTTTTTGATGGGACACAGTTCAGCACATAATACCATCCTTCCTTATAGTTACTGTTTTTATTAATTGTGGTGAGGATTACAAGTATCCACTAGTTAATAAAAAATGATGTTTTATACTTTTATTTCTTGTTCTTTCAGTTGTTTTGTGATGATTTTCTACAGGAAAATAGGAGTAGAACATTTTAACCCCCATCTTTAAAACAGAGTTTCTAGCTGACACTTCAGAAGTCACAGGCTTTGTGATCTGATGACATAGTTGAGGGAGTGTTGTGCAGTGGGGACATGTAGTGAGGATACCTTGCATCTTTTTTTTTTTGAATTGGAGTCTCACTCTGTCACCCAGACTGGAGTGCAGTGGCCGCTCCCGGCCACCGCAGCCTCGACCTGCTGGGCTCAGGCGATCCTTTGGCCTCAGCCTTCCAAGTAGCTGGATCTACGTGCACTACCACGCCCGGCTAATTTTTGATTTATTGTGGAGATGAGGTCTCGCCAAGTTGCCCAGGCGGGTCTCGAGCCCGTGGGCTCAGGCAGTCCACTCACCTCTGCCTCCCAAGGCGTGGGATTATAGGCTGAGCCACCGAGCCCGGCGATACCTTGTATCTTTATGGTATTTTATATTTTATGAAGTGCTTGAACATATCTGCTTTGATCTTCACAACAGTGTCAAAAGGTAGATAGGACAAATTATCATTGGTATTTAGCAGATAAGAAACAGAGGCCTAGAGCAGTTCTAAATGACTTGATTAAGCTCTTTTAAAAAAAAAAAAAAAACTTTTTTAAGAGACAGGGTCTTGCTATGTTGCCCAGGCTGGTCTCAAGCTCTTGGTCTTAAGTGATCCTCCTGTCTTGGTCTCCGCAGTAGATGGGATTACAGGCACGAGCCATTGTGCCTGGCCTCATGAGGCATATAGCATCTAACTAAGCTCAGTCATCTTCTTTCCCAGCATCTTTTCCCTCTGCAATGTCATTAAGTCCTTAAGGATCTGGGTGCCAGTGTCACAGTACAAATCTACCTGTCAGGTCTAAGTGAGGGAAGGTGCTTTTTTACCTGTCTTTTGTTGCATAACAAACCATCCCAAAACTTAGTGATTTGAAACAACAGATATGTATTTGCTTGTGATTCCACAGTTTGGGGAAGACTTGATGTTATTTCAGCTTCTAGTGGTATTAGGTGGTGGGTCATTACGCCTGAGAATAGAGTATCCAAGATGACTTACAAGTCTGGTACCTCAGCTGGGTGGCGAGAAGAGCTGAGGGCTGGCTGGTCATCTCTCTTCATCTCTTCCTCCATTTCTTTCCCTCTGTCTCCTCTCTTTAGAATCTCTTATCTTCCAAAGCCCCTTTCTCTCCACGTGATCTGTCTTTATAGCAGGCCAGTTAGACTGTTTTACCTGACAATTACTTCGAAAGTAAAAAGGTAGATTTGGTAGGCCTCGTAAGGCCTGGACCTGGAGCTGGTATGCACAAACAGGAATGGGAGAAATTACTGGCAATGCTCTTTGCAGAAATCCACCGTAGGTGCCGAGTCTGAATTTATTCAGCAATTGTGTTCTTGTCAGCCATCAGTTTTTCTATCACTGACTCCTTCAGAGATCTTAGTCGGGAAAGGACACAGCACATAGACTGACTTTTTTTTATAAAGTGGTGAATCTTTCTAATTTTAGGATTTTGTGATATTGACTTTGTTAACTTCTTCACACAGGAAACCTGGACAAGCATGAAGAACTAGAGAAGCTTGTAGCAAGGTTCTTGGGAGTGGAAGCTGCTATGGCATATGGCATGGGCTTTGCAACGAATTCAATGAATATTCCTGCTCTTGTTGGCAAAGTAAGAACCACTGTCATTGATGAAAACTTCCTCATATGTGTCTTTTTTTGTTTTGAAAAGCAGCCAGAGCAGGCCAAAAGCTGTCATAAACTTTAACCCAAATATAGTTTAGCGAAAGATATTTCTGTCGTACATTTTTGGACAAGTATCCCATGGATACTTATCAGTTGGCGATTTCTTGCTAGAACCCGTGATCCTTCCTGCTTCCATTAGATGACTCTTGCCTTACAATCCCATACAGAGTTCTGAAGGGAGTTGATAAAGAAAAACTTGGAAAAGGTTAAAGTTATTAAAGAAAGAAGGTTTAGTTTGGAAAGGTACTTGACAGGTGGTTTTTCCTAAGCAGAAAAATAGGAAATTATGTAGTTATTCTAATACTTTTTTTATTGCAGTGCATGTTGCTTATACACACACACACACACACACACTAGGATATATATATCCCTTTACTCCACATGGGTAGAGCTCATGAGGGGGCGTAGTCTACTATGTAAATGTAAATCGCAGTTTAGCAGGTTGGTACTCTTAGCTTGAAAGGATTCTTGAGGTTATTTATTCTTGTTTTAGCATAATATCTAGGGATAGTATATTGAAAAAGTAGTGATTAACAAACAGGATAATTGAATTTTTGCTTGTTTGTTAGTTGGTTATATGGTCAAACTTTGCTATATAACTGAGCATGTCAAATATTCTTTCTGATCTTGAAAGTTTCCTTTGTAAAGTGAGGTGATTGAACTTCTTGGTTAACTCTGAAGTCCTTTGTAGTTACGTAATGAATAGGTCTGTGAAGAAGAGATTGGACAAATAGAAAACAAATAACAAGATAGGAGATTTTATTGGCTGCATACAGTGGCTCATGCCTGTAAGCCCAATACTTTGGGAAGCCAAGGCAGGAGGCTGACTTGAGGCCAGGAGTTTGGGACCAGCCTGAGCAACATAGGGAGACCTTGTCTCCAAAAAACAAAACAAAACAAAAACCCTAAACTACACTGGTATCACATTAAATGTAAATGGTTTACATATTCCAATTAGAAGACAGAGATTGTCAAATTTATTAAAACTAAGTAGGTTTTCCATTGTAAAACAGCAATATATTTTATGTATAAAGACACAGAGTTTAAAAGTAAAAGGACAGAAAAAGATATAACATGCAAACAGTAATCAAAAGGAATTTGAAGTGATTATATTAATGTAAACAAATATTTTAGAGGAAGAAATATTTCTGGAGATAAAGAGGAACATTGTATAATGATTAAGGAGTTAGTTCCTCAAAAGGACATAATCTTAAATGTATAGGTACCTAATCACAGAGCTTCCAAGTACACGAAGCAAAAATGAATGAAACTGAAGGAGAAGTAGACAGAGAGCTATAATTAGAGACATCAACACTCCTCTCTTAATTGATTAAAGAACGAAACAGAAAAGCAGTGAGCATAAAGAACACTTGGAAAATACTGTCAACCGGTAGTTGACCTAATTGACACTCATGAAACACCTCACCCAACCTCTATATTTACCAATATAGACTGTATTCCAGGCTGTTAAACAAGTCTTAATAAATGTAAAAGTATTAGAATTATTTATAGTGTGTTCTCTGATCACAGTGGAATATAAATCAGAAATCTGTAACACAAAGATAACTGGAAAATTTTTTGGAAATGTATATATCACAATCTGTAGGATGAAGCTAAAGCAATGCTCAGATAAAGTGTGTAGTATTAAATGTTTATACAGGTTGAGCATCCCTGATCGAAAAATCCAAGACCTGAAATGCTCCAAAGTGTGACAGTTTTTGAATATGTTGTACTCAAAGAAAATCTCAGGGGTGTTCAATCAGTAAGTAAAGTGAAAAGTATCCAAAATCCCAAAAAAATCAGAAACACTTCTGGTCCCAAGAATTTTGGTTGGATAAAGGATATTCAACCTGTATTAGGAAAAAAAAAAAAAAGCTTCTACCTTACAAAATTAGACAAAGAAGAACAAATTAAACCCAAACTAAGCAGAAGGAATATAATGAATATAATGAAAGTAAATGCAGAAATCAATGAATTAGAAAATAGACAGTAGGGATATCAGTGAAACCAAAGCTGATTCTTTGAGAAAATGAATAAAATTGTTAAGTCTCTAGCCAGACTGGTCAGGGTTAAAAAAAAGGGAACAGTAGCAGGAATGAGAGAGGGGGACATCACTACACAGCCTATAGGCATTCAAGGATTATAATAAGAGAATGTTAGCAACAACTTTATGCCAATAAGTTCAACAACATAGATAAAATAGACAACTTCCTTGCATTACAATGCATTGCTGTCCTGCATTTTTTGCAGTGCAAACCTGAGATTTCTTATTTGGTATTTCCCAGAAGTTTTCACACTACAGGATTAAAGCATTTCACCTTGCTCCTCTCTCTCTCTGCTTACAAATGCTAGCAAAGCATTATCTAGAATTAGATTGTTTTCTTCACAGACATGGAAGATTCTGCTTTAAAGATTTATCTTTCAAATCAAACATTACAGTTGAAATGTTATGAAATAGATAGCATTTTATCTGTTAAAGTCAGTAACTCATCCAGTTTTTGTTGTTGTTGTAGTTGTTGTTTTTTGAGTCAAGGTCTCACCCTGTCACCCAGGCTAGGGTGCAGTGGTATGCTCATGGCTGCCACAGGCTTGACCTGTTGGGCTCAGGTGATCCTTCCTCCGTAGCCTTTCAAGTAGCTGGAACTACAGGCATGAGCCACCATGCCTGGCTAATTTTTTGATTTACTGTAGAGATGATGTTTCACCAAGTTACCCAGGCTGGTCTTGAACCTCTGGGTTCAGGCAATCCTCTCACCTCAGCCTCCCAAAGTGCTGGGATTATAGGCATGAGCCACTGCACCCAACCTTAATCCAGTTTTGATAGTTCTTTGAATCTGATACTAAATTTACTTGTGAGGTAGTTAGTTGTTCAGCTTAATGGCAGGGGGAAGCAGTATATTGATTAAGATAGAATGTTCTAGAAGCAGATTGCTTGCATTGAGTCACTTACTTGTGACCTTACTTGTGACCTTGGGCAAGATTTTAAAAACCTGAACAAGGAACAAGAATGTCTTCATATGAAAAGTGGGAGTGATAACAGTACCTACTTTATGAGGTTGTTGTGAGAATTAGAAATAATAATGCACTTAAATCCCTTCACATAGCTGGGCCTGGTAGCTCTTGCCTGTAATCCTGACACTTTGGGAGGCTTTGCCTGAGCCCAGGAGTTTGAGACCAGCCTAGGCAGCATAGCAAGACCTTGTCTCTCCAAAAAGTAAAAATATTAGCCAGGCTCAGGAGGTTCAGGCAAAAGGATCACCTGAGCCCAGGAGGTGAGTCTGTGGTGAGCCGTCGTCCATGCCACTGCACTCCAACTTGTACTACAGAGTGCGACCCTGAATCAATCAATTAATCAATCAGTCAGTTCGAACCAAGGATATAATAGAGCTTCATAGTAGATTAGAAGGGAAAAACAGATTGATAAGTTGAAATGGCAAATAAGACTGTCTAAAAAAAAGAGATGATAAACAAAAGGACATACTGATATAGCAGGGGCTGCCAGGAAAAAAATAGAGTTGGAAGAAGAAAATAGAGTTGTGTGAAAGGTCCTTGTAGGGTATAGTGGAGGGTCAAGAGTAGTAAGTAAAGATTTGCAGGCAACTTGGATCAATTTATAATCTATAATACTCAGTGACCTATCACAGAAAAAAAGAACCGAGTACCACATGCTCTCACTCATTAGCGGACCTTGAACAATTATCACAATACTGTAAGAAAGCGATTGGCAGTAGTGGGAAATTGCTGGGGGCAGGGGGTATACTTCATCAATAAGAGTACCTGATCTCAAACCAGGTGAAGTGGGGACCAAAGTGAGACCCAAACTTTATCTGTACAATAACCATTTGTATACCTAACCCTGAATTGTACCCATCTTTAAAATAAAAAAAAAAAAAAAAAAAGAATTTGCAGGCTTGTACAAGAGAAATCCAACCTCTCTTTATTTTCCCCCCAGTTTATTTTTATTTTTATTTTTTTACAATTTTAGTGACTTCCAAACTTAAATTTAGACTTATAGAGGAGTGGCAAAAGAGTACAGAGAGTTCCTGTATGCCGTTCACTCAGCTTCCTTTTATATGAAATCTTACGTAACAGTGGAATTTTCCTCACAGCTGATAAGTTTACTGTGAAACAATCCTATTAACTAAGAATGGAGCTTCCTTGGTTCTTGCCAGTTTTTCTTTTTTCTTTTTTTTTTGAGTTGGAGTCTCACTCTGTCACCCAGACTGGAGTGCAGTGGCCACTCCCGGCCACCGCAGCCTCGACTTGCTGGGCTCCAGTGATCCTTCCGCCTCAGCCTTCCAAGTAGCCGGAACTACAGGCGCACACTACCACGCCCGGATAATTTTTGATTTATTGTAGAGATGAGGTCTCGCCAAGTTGCCCAGGTGGGTCTTGAACCCACGGGCTCAGGCAATCCACTCACCTCAGCCTCCCAAAGCGCGGGATTACAGGCTGAGCCACCGAGCCCAGAGCCAGTTTTTCTACCAACATTCTTTCTGTGTTCCAGGACCCAGTTGAGGATCCACGATACATTTAGCTGTTGTAGCTTCTCAGTCTTCTCCAGTCTGTCTTGTCTTCGGTGACCTTGACCCTTCTGAAGAGTACCGTCATTTATTTTGTAGCACATACCTCAGTTTGGCTATGTCTGCTATGTTGCCACAGTTTGCTTGAGTCTTTGTGCTGTGAGGAGTATACCACAGAGGCAAGGCCTTCACAGGGCATCTAACAGACAGAGACTGTGTGGCTTTGCTCTATGTTATTGGTGATGTCAAGCCTTGATCGCTTGACCAAGGTGTCCGCTAAGGTTCTCTACTGTAAACCAACTACTTTTTGCTTTGTAATGACCAAATCTATTGTGGCAGAGATATTTTGGGACTATATATAAATAGCATTTCTGGTTAAACTTTCACCCACTGATTTTAGTTGCATCTGTGGATCTGGGCTGTGGCAGTTATTACCTTGTTATTCTAGTGGTGAATTTTCTTTTCTTTTTTTTTTTTTTGAGTTGGAGTCTCACTCGGTCACCCAGACTGGAGTGCAGGTGGCCACTCCCAGCCACCACAGCCTCGCCTGCTGGGCTCCAGCGATCCTTCTGCCTCAGCCTTCCGAGTAGCCAGAATTACAGGCATGCGCTACCATGCCCAGCTGATTTTTTGATTTACTGTAGAGATGAGGTCTCGCTGCCCAGGTGGGTCTCGAACCCACGGGCTCAGGCATTCCACTCACCTCAGCCTCCCAAAGGCGCAGGATTACAGGCTGAGCCACCGAGCCCAGCTTGTGAATTTTCTATTTTCTCATTCCTTCTGTTCTTTTTTCTTTTTTCTTTTGAGTTGAAGTCTCACTCTGTCACCCAGACTGGAGTGCAGTGGCCGCTCCCAGCCACCGCAACCTCAACCTGCTGGACTCCAGTGATCCTTCCCCCTCAGCCTTCGGAGTAACCGGAACTACAGGCATGCGCTACCACGCTCAGCTGATTTTTTGGTTTATTGTAGAGATGAGGTCTCGCCGCCCAGGCGGGTCTCAAACCCGTGGGCTCAGGCAATCCACTCACCTCAGCCTCAAAGGCGCGGGATTACAGGCTGAGCCACCGAGCCCGGCTCTTCTGTTCTTATTAATTAAGATTTTTGTGCAAGGAGTTTTGCTTCTCCCCTTTTATTTATGTCAGTATGGATTTGTGAATATTTTATTTGGTTATAATTCAACACAATCACTTTTTTTGTTGTTTGAGTTTTGGCCATTGAAAGCTCATTCAAATGGGCACCTGTGTCCTCTGAGTGTATAACTTGTTTTGAAGACATTTTCATACTTTCTGGCATGTTAAGATGCTCCAGACTTATGTTATATTTTCCCTATCCCAGCTTCAGAATTAACCAATTCTCCAAGAAGCTCTGGCTCTTTTTATAAACCAAGGCCTGGGAACTAGGTGTGTTTGTTGCTATATGAATATCACTGCTTCTCACCTCTCACTGCCTAGAGCTGGAAAATGTATGTGTGTTTGCTAACTCATGCATACACATGTGTATATATACATATGTATGTAAGATTTTAAGACCAGGAGTCTTTATTATACTGCCAATTCTACTATTCTTCATTTTTTTTTAGATTGGAAAATGTAATTTTTTGAGAAAGTAAATTAGAGAGAGAGAAGAGAGAGGGGATTCACTTCCCCAAGGTAGGGGAAGGGGCCATAGCTTAGGAAAACATGGCCTGGTCATAGCTCAGAGAACACGCAGTCAGACCATAGCTTAGCAAGGCAGAGAGAGAAAGAGCGAGAGAGATAATTGATTCACCTCCTCAAGGTAGGGGAGGGGGCCAAAGCCAAAATATGATGGCCATAGCTCAAGGAGCCATGTAGACACACCAGAGTTTAGCAAAGCAGTGGCCACTTTATTTTTAATCAATAAACTTTTAACTAAGTAGCTTTTATATCCTAATAAAAACTATGCACATAGTAAACATTTCAAACAGACAACTCCTGCTACAAGTTTCTTAAGTTGCCATCAAGAATATTCTGTAACAAATAAACACACACACACACACACACACACGTACACACAGTTGACCCTTGAACAACACGGGTTTGAACAGCACAGGTCCACTTATATGTGATTCTTTTTCAACCAAACATGGAATGAAAATATAGAATTCCTGGCAGATGGAACCCGTGTATACGAAAGGCTGACTTTCCATGTAAGTGGGTTGCAGCATCGCCTGCAGGACTTGTGTGTGCACAGATTTGGGTACATGTGGGGGTCCAGGAACCACACCCCACGTGTACTGAGGGACAACTCTATGTGTTCCTGTATCTTCTCTCTTCCTTTTATTTTCGTGGAAGCATGCTGTATACGTTCTGCACTTTTACTGTTTTCATCTGATTGGATATTTTGAGGCTGTTTTTGTTAGAGAAAATCCTGTTTCAGCGTTCAGCTCTTACAGGTTGAAGGGCCCTGTGAGAAATAGATAAGTAAGAATTGGAGGAAAAAATAAACCAATAACTTTAACCTTTTCTTGTTGCCTTGGCAGAAACCCCCATTTGCGTGTTAAAATAAATCTTGTTCAGGGATTGTAAGGGCAAAGCTGAGGCCTACACTCCGTATCATGTGGAGAAATGGTTAATAAGCAGGATCCTTCTGGACGCTGGGTGTTGTTGGTAGTGAGAAAGGGTGCCCATTCCATAGGCTTTACCCCTCGCCCACCAGTTCCCGTGGATAAGTAGCACATCATTCAGAACTCACGTGGGATGTCCTCAATAAAGAAGAATGAAACCTTTTAGAGACTGATGGGTGTATCAGGTTTTATTTATTATTGTTACTACTATTATTATTTTATAGACAGTTTAACTATGTTGCCTAGGCTGATAGATTTTAGGAATAAATAAAAACCTATTGCTATCTTCTGAATAGTTCAGTCAACCACAAGACTGAAGATATTAAATAAAAAGGCTCATGCAAGTAATCTCAGCACTTTGGGAGGCTGAGGCAAGAGAATCACCTGAGCCCAGGGGTTCAAGACCAGCCTGGGCCACTTGGTGAGACCTTGTCTCTATAGTAAATAAAAAAATTAGCTGGGCGTGGTCATACATGCCTGTAGTTCCAGCTATTTGGAAGGCTGAGGTGGAAGGATCGCTTGAGCCCAGCAGGTAAATTGCCATCATATTTTTTTCTTTCTTAAATTGATTGCTTTGCTGTTGTGCAAGATTTCCTTAATAAGATGTAACAATTATTGCATACTGCTACTGCGTTTTGTAATTTGTGTAGCTAAACCTTTCCCTTCCAGCTCCTTACCTTCCTGTGCATGTGGTTTTGCAGGGTTGCCTGATTCTAAGTGATGAGCTGAACCACGCATCACTGGTTCTTGGAGCCAGACTGTCGGGCGCGACCATTCGGATCTTCAAACACAACAGTGAGTTGCTCCTGGAATTCACTGCAGTCCTGAGTGTTTAGTATCCTTTGGTTAGTTTTGGTGGTAACATTAGTTATATTAACAGTTGAAAATACAAATAAAGCTGAGGTAGCAGCATTTAAAAAGCTCTTCTAGTCCGGTCTTTAAAAATTATTATCTTCCTTATTGGAATAAAAATAGAAGATGAAGGAAGTCTTTTTAAATTTTTATTTAGCTGGGCTGGATGGCTCAGCCTGTAATCCCGCGCCTTTGGGAGGCTGAGGTGAGTGGATTGCCTGAGCCCGCGGATTCAAGACCCGCCTGGGCAGCGAGACCTCATCTCTACAATAAATCAAAAAATTAGCTGGGCGTGGTAGCGCATGCCTGTAATTCCGGCTACTTGGAAGGCTGAGGTGGAAGTATCGCCAGAGCCCAGCAGGTCGAGGCTGTGGTGGCCGGGAGCGGCCACTGCACTCCAGTCTGGGCGACAGAGTGAGACTCCCAACTCAAAAAAAAAAAATTTTATTTATTTGTTTATTTATTTACTTATTTATTTCTGAGTTGGAGTCTCACTCTGTTGCCCAGAGCATACAGTGGCACGCTCATGGCCACTGCAGCCTTGACCTACTAGGCTTAGGCTATCCTTCCACCTCAGCCTTCCAAAGAGCTGGAACTACAGGCACATGCCACCATGCCTAGCTAATTTTTCTTGATTTATTGTAGAGATGAGTCCTCACCAATTTACCTAGGCTAGTCTTGAACCCCTGGGCTCAGGCAGTCCTCTCACCTTGGCCTCTCAAAGTGCTGGGATTATAGATATAAGCCACTGCGCCCAGCCTTAATTTTTATTTTTTAGAGAAGGGGTCTCACTCTGTCACCCATGTTGGAGTACTGTAGCACAATCATAGCTCACTATAGTCTCAAACTCCTAGGTTCAAGCGATCTTCCCACCTCAGTCTCCCGAGTAGCTGGGTCTACAGGTATGCACCACTATGCACAACTGATTTTTTATATTTAAATTTTTTTTGGTAAAGGCAGGTCTTGCTATGTTGCCCAGACTGATCTTGAATTCCTGGCCTTAAAGTGATCCTCCCATCTTGGGCTCCCAAAGTGCAGGGATTATAGGTGTGAACCACCCCGCCTGGCCAAGAGAGAACTTTCTTTTATGTAAATATAATATTATTCTTTTATTTAACTTTCAAGTTTTCTATCCCATTTATTTGTTTATGCCTACAGTATATCTTGCCATAACATTATACGAGAGGTATTGTGATGAATAAATTAGGGTCCCTGATCTCAGTGATCTCTGACTGGTTAGTGAAGACACTTACTAGGTAAATCAGTTCTCACAGTACAGTACACAGATGCTGAAATGTAGATGCAAACAGGTGCCACAGGAACACAGAGAAAGGTGGCACTAAACCAAAACCTTTTCTCCTTAAATGGAAAATCTTTGGGCATTATTAAAGTAACTATTTATAATAAAAATGCCTAACTTTCATAGTTAAAACACTCACACATAGAGATAAAAGATTATCAAGCTGTGTGTGTAATATTATCTTTTGCCAGTATGTGTACGTATAGACAGAAGACTAGAAGATATACCAGGATGTTTGATCTATATCTCCTAATGGAAAGATTATAGATGATAACTTTTGTTCTTTGTCTTGTCTCCAACGTTTTCCAGTGAGAATGGTACACAAAGAGTATTTTGTTTTATATAAATCAGATATTTTTAAACAGTACCGTCTAGTCTAACCTGCTGTTTTCTTTTTTTTTTTTGAGTTGGAGTCTCGCTCTGTCGCCCAGACTGGAGTGCAGTGGCTGCTACCGGCCACCGCAGCCTCGTCCTGCTGGGGCTCCGGCAATCCTTCCGGGTAGCCGGAATTACAGGCGCGCTACCACACCCGGCTGATTTTTTGATTTATTGTAGAGATGAGGTTTCGCTGCCCAGGCGGGTCTCGAACCCGCGGGCTCAGGCAATCCACTCACCTCAGCCTCCCAAAGGCGCGGGATTACAGGCTGAGCCACCGAGCCCGGCTGCTGTTTTCTTTTTACAATACTTTGTGAACATTGTTTGTCAGTCCATGTGACACTGCCTTGCTCTTTAGTGGTAAAGTGGCAGGCAGTGTCTGGTCTGAATGCCATGATTTAATTGATCCCTCAGTTGGGTATCAAGATTGTTTCTAAATGTTTCTACTAGAAACTACATTACATTCCTGTTTTTGTACAATCATCTGATTCGTGCCTTAGGATAAGATCCTAGCAGTCTTAAATGTCTGGTGAAAAGGGTGTAAGTTTTTAATACTTTTCCAAAGTGCCTCTAAGCATTGTATTACTTTTTACTCAGTAACATGGTGTGACTGTTTCTCTCATTGGCCAACGTAGGCTATTATGAATCATTATAAATCTTTTCAAATCTAAGTAAATAATATGTCAACTTTTGTTTCTTTTGTGATTCAATGTAGAGCAAGTTTTTAATGTGGTGATTATATTTGTATTTCGGGTTTTTTTTATATTACTTGCAAGCTAATGTATTTGTATTTCTTACTTCTTAAGTTGGCCATTTTCTAATTGTTTCTCTTGTTTACTGATTATAAGAGCCCTTTATATTAATGATCCTTTCTTTTGTGTTACACTATTTTTTGTCTTATTTTGACTTTGTTTTTACTGTCTTGCTGTGCAGACTCATTACAAAGTTTCTGTTGTCTTAATTACTATCTTATGACTTTTGGATTTTACATAATGCCTTCCCTGTTCTAAGAACATAAGGTTATTCTCTTACATTTTCCTTTTGATGTTTTCTGATGTGTTTTTAATTTAAATTTTGTGTAGAATTTGGGGAGTTTAATATGGAGGCGAAATTGATTTTTTAAAAAGAGATAACATGGTTAAGTATTCTGCTATAGATATTTCCTTTGTCTAAAATTTTGAATCAGTATTCATTTTTTTCCTCCTTTCTGGATATAAACAGAGGAAACTGAAACAATGAGCATGTCTTTCCTTGTTTCCTGCTGGTGGCCACACATGGCTGCCCGTAGCAGAACTGGAGGCTGTGGTCAGGACAGACCTACTTCTGTGGAGAGCATCTTCCGTCTCTTGGCTAGGTAGAATGCAGATTGTTTTGTTAAGAATAACTGAATGTGTAAGCATAGTTATAGCCTTTGACCATCTTATTTGTGTTTGTGTTATGTGGTTTTTTACTTATTTATTTTTTCTATCGAAGTCCTTTTATGGAAAGAGCAAAATCACATAGTTTGTTTAACCAGCAACCCCCACCTAGTGAGTAGTGAAGTTAGATTTTATGACAGAGTGTCTCCCACCCCTGCCTTAATGTTGCTTAGATTTGGGCGAGTTTTTTAAGGCCTTTATTTTGGCAAGTATTTTAAGTATGAAGTCTATAGTGCTGGCAAGTAATGGTCTTCACAGCATTTGTCTCTGCCAGGGAGATGATGACCCTCATCATGGCATCAGCAGCCAGGGGGCTTTTTGGGCCCGTTAACTCCTGAAGGACCAACAGAGCCACAGGAACTTGGTTGTGTAGACAACGGTTGGTGTCAGTCACGGGACAATCTCAGCTGATTGCCAAGCTTGCTCACCACATAACTCACACATGGCCCAGACTGGTGTGTTTTTAACCCAGTACCAAGATAAAGCTCTTTAACATGCTTTTATTGAGCATATTTTCTGCTTTTTTTTTTTTTTTTTTTTTTTTTAGAGAGAGAGGGTCTTGCTCTGTTACCCAGGCTGGGGTGCAGTGTCACAATCATAGCTTACTGCATCTTTGAACTACTGAACTCAAGCGAGCCTCCCTCCTCAGTCTCCTAGGGACTATAGGAACATGCCATTACACCTGGCTAATATTTTATTTTACTGTAGAGAGAGAGGTTTCACTATGTTGCCCAGGCTAATCTTGAACTCCTGGCCTCAAACAGTCCTCCTGCCTCGGCCTCCCAAAGCTGGGCTTATAGATGTGAACCACCATGCCCAGTCTTGGTCTCCTTTATGCAGTTATTTCTGAATGACTTCCTAGGATTAGCATACAGTTTGATTTTTTACTTTTTTGATAAACACAAAAAGCTAGCAGAATGGCAAGGTATTTAACATGAAACACTAGTTATTTCAGAAGGAAGCTAACAAACTGAATCAACCACCACAGTCATTTAGTCGTGTTTTGATAGCTTTGAGCATTTGTTACATTTTGGATTTCAGTTCAGGGTGGCAACAGTTCACCCATTTTGGCCTGTTTTTCTTCTGCCCGATTCTACTTTTATATTAATGTCCTTTGCTATCTGAGACACACTTGCAGAGTAAGAAATGTATCTTTGCATTTTTAGAATAAGGTTAGGAGATAGGAAGATAATTGTGACATCTTTCTTTTTTGTGTGTTGTAGACATGCAAAGCCTAGAGAAGCTGTTGAAAGATGCCATTGTCTATGGTCAGCCCCGGACACGAAGGCCCTGGAAGAAAATTCTGATCCTTGTAGAAGGAATATATAGGTAATCCTGCTGTATTGTTTTTATCTTTGTGACTTGAGCCTATGAAGTCATAGAGCTTTTAAAATGAAGGGAATGCTATCCTGGCCCCCTCCAGAAACTGAGGAAACAGTGTTTATGCCTTGTTAAGGTACCTGGGAAAGAGTCAGCACTAGGAGTCTTTTTGTCTGGCCCTTCTTTATTCTTTCCATCATGCTATGTGGTCTCCAAATCCTGCTTCTTTTGGGGTTCTTTATTTTTGTTCTATTTTAGAGCGAGCTTATGCTTGGGGGCCAGAATTGGAATATATATTCTAATATTTCAAACCAAATTACACTTCATTTAATTTTAAGAACAATTCGATTTGGGTTAACTTTTGCAACCCTGAAACTTATTCTTACCCCAAGTTTGTGCTGTCCTTTTGTGTAATTTTAGTCGCATATGCAATATGAAGCAAAGCCCACTTTTGCCTGTAATTACAAGCAGTAGAGGAATCTGTTATGACCTTAATTCTTTCTGTCGTGAGTTAAGATCACACATTTTGAACGGCCCAGTCTCCTTTCCCCTAGCCTCTGCCTAGCCATGGTACTATCTAACCTTGTCAGTTGAAAACTACAGCTAGAGTTGTCAGACCATTTAAAAAGCAATAAACTAAAAAAATTAATAATGAAACTTCCACCTCCTAATTTTGAGACTTAAAAAGTCTCTGTGTATTTTTGTCCTGCTTTGCTAGCATGGAAGGCTCTATTGTTCGCCTTCCTGAAGTGATTGCCCTCAAGAAGAAATACAAGGCGTACTTGTACCTGGATGAAGCCCACAGCATTGGGGCCTTGGGCCCCACTGGTCGAGGCGTGGTGGAATACTTTGGCCTGGACCCTGAGGATGTAGACGTTATGATGGGCACGTTCACAAAGAGCTTTGGTGCTGCTGGAGGATACATCGGAGGCAAGAAGGTAAATGGGCCCTGAGAGCAATTAAAGATAAAGATATTGGCCCCTCAATGTGGTAACTCGTGTGGCAGACAGGATCTTGAGCTGGGATGTGGAGATCTGAGTTTGGTAGGGGCTTGGGCTCATCGTGCCTGCAGGCTACACACTTGAGCTGCCTGTTGAGTAACATCTCCTTTCTGAACTGCATGTTGCTCTGAGATAGAGAATACCCTTTTGTATGAAAGCACACACTGGCGCTTCCTGTTTGGCCATGGTCTTCTGTGGGCTTTGCATTGTGCTCATGATTCAAAAGTGGTGGGTTGTCATGGGAGCCAATGGGAGCAGCAAACCAGCCGCCCTGCACACTTAGACTCAGACGCGTCATGGGTAAACCTGGAGACAGGAAGGAAGAAGATTGTGCTGGTTCTAGGATCCTGCAAAGCAATGTATTTTTCAACTATAAGTTATAGAGTGAATTCTGAGGCAACTACAAATGTTTGTGGTGTGGTGGAAGTGATGAACCATGGACACAGAGGCCTCTGCTTTCTTTTGAGATCTTGGGGAATGTATTTAACCGTCCCATTTCCTCATCAGTAAAATAGAGATAACTATGCCTATCTTACAAGATAGTAGTAATGGTTTAAAAAATAATGTTTGGCCATGCTACAGGGATACCCCTTAAAAACATCACCTAGTGAAAGAAGTCAGTCCCAGCAGGTCTTGTAATGTCTGTTTTATAGATACGTTAGCTCCAGAATAAGCATAGAAACAGAAAGTGGATCAGCAGTGGCCAGGCCCAAGGGACTGGGGAAATGAAAGTGACTGCTTGTGCTACGAGGTTTCCTCTTAGGGTAACAAGGATGTTCTAAAATAGATACTGGTAAAAGTTGCACAACTGAATCTACTACCAGCCACTGAATTGTACACTTTTAAAGGGTGAATACTATGGTTTGTGACTTACATCTCAATGAAGTTGTCATTTTAAAAAATGTACTGCAACATTAGGAGAAAAATATTGTAAGTCAAGTGTTTGTATATGGCACAGAGTGTTCATGAATGTTCTTAATTTGGCTTTAAAACTTAAAGAATGGTTATTCTTTGAATCATTGATTGCCTTTTAGAGAGAATTCATTTCAGTGGGTTTTAATCAGGTTTGGTAGATTTTTATCTCAAATTTTATGTTTTTCTTAGTGGGACCTGTCTCACTTTGGAGAGTTAATTGCTTTTTAGTAAGGTTTATTGCTGTGAACCAAAGGTTAAAAAAAATAATATGGGGATCATTTAGGGACAGTATGTTCATGCTTTTGGAGAGTATTTTTGGTATAATTTTGAGTATTTTTGGTCAAACTGTTTTATAACCACAGTTTTGTCTCCTCACTTGGTTCTGGTACATAAGCCTCTTTGTGTGTACAGTTTATTTAAAGATTTAGCAAAATTAAAAGGTATCAGAGAATAGGAATATGCAATTAATTGTTTTTGAAATCTTTGTAAGTGACAAGAGTTTTATTCAGTGAGATGGTATTAGCGTTCTAATGGAATATCAAGTAAATTTCTATTTGATTTCTGCCACATTTATTTCATTTTATAGATCTCTGTGTGTCTGGAGGAAATTCCGATGCCCTTAAAGTTGATGTTAGAGAACTGTCTGTTATTTAGGGGTGCAAAGATAGACTTTGCAGGTATAGGGTGAGAGGCATACACATTTCATTTAGTTCAGTCTGTACATTTATTTGTAATATTAAATAATATAATCTCCATATTTAAAGGGATTATTTAAAAATAGAGGTTTTCCTATGTTCTCATTTTTTTAAAAAACAGACCTAAGAACGTTACCATGTTTCTGACCCAGTTGTTGCCAACAGTATTCTCTGACCATGTTGGTTGACCTTATGTCTCTGATGAGTGTCCCTATTCTGATACCATTGAAAGGAGTGTCCACTAGAAGGAAAGCACTGGTGTGGCCAGTGAATTCAGGAAGTGCCTCTGATCATCTGCCTCTGAACCCCCAGGAGCTGATCGACTACCTGCGAACCCACTCTCACAGTGCAGTGTACGCCACGTCACTATCACCCCCTGTCGTAGAGCAGATCATCACCTCCATGAAGTGCATCATGGGGCAGGATGGCACCAACCTCGGTAAGGCTTGCTTGTCTGGAAATGCTTCCTAGGTTCACTTAGCAGCCAGAGGTGCTATTTTCCTTGAGCTTTTCCCCTAAGGAGTCAGGTTTACTAACAGGAGAGCTGGCTGGTGTGTGAGGCCTGGTGCGTGTGTAGTTTCCATGGACACTTGAATGTGTTAGATACATATGCTATGAGAACTGCACTGGTTTACTTCCTGTGGAATTTTCTTGTTTATAGATGGCGAGGCTTCATTCTTTCATCCCTCAGCCTCGTAACTCATAGGTAATAGCCCTTCAGGGTCTTTCTTGAACTGCATAATTTTATGTGAAGAGGAAATTCACTCTGTAATGATGCTTCATCGATAGCATTTGAAAGATGGTGGCACGCAGTGAGACTCAACACCCTTTAAGGCCAAGAGATTTAATGGGGATGAGCACGGTGGCTACAGAACCTGAGAATCAGATTGCAGCATGGAGGCAGGGGTGTGGCAGGTTTTATAGAAATTTAAAGCGACCTGTTGGTTACCTATTGGTCGGCAGGTGAGGTATTTTTGGAATTGGCAGGGGCTTTCACGGGCGCAGGAACGGTGGGCTTTGTTGTGGAAGAAGAACCCGGAAAGCCTTGTCCGAGCCTCCATGTTAGTTTGTCTGGGTGCCTTCTTAGGTGGGAGCGCCATTTTAGGTGGGGGCCACGCCTAGGCTTAGTCTTTGGAGGGGGCGGGTTCCTTGTGGCTGGCTGGGGCCTTTCATTCCCACCTCTTTGGTTAAGGGATAAGGGGGCGGAGTTGATCGGTCTGGCTACTTCCTGCTGGTGGAGGGCGTTGTTGGGTGAGGTGGGTGAAAGAACCAGCCACATGAGGCCCCATAAGAAGGCGCCGAAAGAAAAAAATTTCGCTGGGGTGGAAGTCTTGGAAGGTGCCCTGGAGGTAGAAGAATGCAAGTTGGTCCGGCCAGTCTTAGAGTGGACACGGGAAAGGGAGGAGCCATTTGTCATGAAGAAGATGGTCAAGGAACACTGAAAACCTGAATTGGATGTAATAAGGCCTGAAAGCCATATCTGTAATGAAAAAATGGGGCGAGAAGGTTTAGGAGGCAGTAAGGCTTGGGTTGTTGAGGCCTGGGTCCTCGGTGGGTAGGAGGTTGTAACTCTGTAGAAGAAACTGGTTAATGGTTTGATTTGAAATTTTTTGGAATTGAGATTGAAGGAATTTTATAATGCAAGGGAGAAAGGAACACAGGCCGAGAAGGAGAACGACTGGAGTAACGATAGGAAGAAGCCACGCGAGGAGGGAGTTTGTCAGTCGATTACTGGTCGACTGGCAGAGCTCCATCCAGGTTGGTGGGTTAGTCACATGATTGCTGCCATGGTGGGGCTTATCTGTGTCAGTGGTTCACAGAGGGCTGATTAGGTTAACCTGAGGGAAATTTCCTGTAAGAGACTTGTTAGACATTTGCAGTTCACAAATTCCTTGACCAAAGAAGTGGGGTGGTCATTTGGGCTGTCCTGATCCTGTATCTGAAGATTTGCCTAAGGGATGGGATAGGCTGCTGTTTGTCCTTCAGTAGAATGTCTGAATGCTTGCTAATCGTTACACTGAGGCCAAAAGACTAAGAATAAGCTAAGTTTCTTCTAGGTTTCTATAGGTACCTTTCATTCCCCACTCCTGCTCTTGGAAATATTCTTATGATCCTGGGAAATGGGGCCAAGATCATTTTTGTATCTATTTTCTGCTGAGATGGGGCCGTATGTCTCTACCTATTTATTTTTAAGGGCATGAACAGGAAATGGCAGGACCTTAAGCAAATGCTATTTGGATCTAATAAAACATCAAGTGAGAGCATAGGCAAAAATTATTGAGCAAACGATGATGAAAAGAGTTATTATCCCAGAAAACAATATTGGAAAAGTGAAAGTTCTGTAAATTGTATGTATTCATTAACATAAGTTGAAATATTTCTTTGTAAACTATCTATAGTTGTACTTTAACAAGGAAATATAGCCACTTTGACACAAAGTCTGAAGAAAGAAAAATTGAAAACATGAGAGACATGTAGTTAGGTTATAGTTTAAATTGAGAGTTTAGAACAGGTAAACATTGGCAAGAGAAAACAGTTTCCTTTGTCTTTATAATAGGCCTGACACACTTTTACAACAATTGATATGCTAGAGAGTGAAGTCCAGGTTATTTTGCCACCCATCCTATGTTGGAGAGTAATCCTTGTGCCTGGAAGGAGATTTTAAAGTTTGTTAGCAATTTGGCGGTGCTGTTAGTGAAATTAATTTACCTGGCCTTTAGGCAATTTAGAAGGGGGTGGGGTAGGTGTGGTTCCTGGAGCTTGCTGCTTATCTCACCCTAAAGACTGAATCAAGAACTTGAAGAGTTTAAGTATCAAAGTTTTTAAAAGCATGTTATAACACAAAATCACAGTAGTTATTGTAAAAGTTACTTATTTAGCCAAAATGATAGTCCAATGATTTTGAAAAGAAAAAAACCTCGCTCTTTTGTAACAAAGACAGTGGGGGAAGGGCTAATTGAATTTTGTCTCTTTTTTTCCCCTCTGTTGTTTAAAGGAGAAAAATTTTTTTGGGAGATTGTTAATTAAGAAGCTCATGTTCTGGTCTTTGAGTAGCATGTAGGCCTACTATTAGTGTAATTGATATTAATGGTAAATTTATGGAACCTTTTTGAAGTCTGAATGTTTATAGAATTCCTTTTACTTCTTTTCACAAACTTTCACCTACCATGTTCGATAAACTCATACCATTTTTTTGACATGCTTAAACCTTCTATTTTTGTTCTATACTTTCTTTAACCAGCCATTCTATTATAGAACAAAAATGTACCATACAAGATTCTTTCCTATACAATTATTTATCTTTCCTTTATCCTTTCTTACTAAAACATAACTTACACCAACAACTTTCTTTACATTTTTCCTAACCTCAGAGCTCTAACCAAACCAATAAGTTTATATGCAGTAGAAGGCTTAGATACGATCCAACGTGGAACTATTAGGGAAATCCAAAGCTACACAAAAGGCACCCAAAAAGCACAGTGGTGATAGCTCAGGGTAAAGAATAATACGAGCTTTAATTTTTGTCATAATGTCCCTTTCCAATAATGGAGCTGGACACGTTGGCATAATAAGGAAAGAGTGTTGAAATATTTTTATTTCCCAGAACACATGGAAGTAATGTCGTAGTGAGGGGCCTGGATATAATGCCCTGTACCCACACAACCGTAAGGGGTGAAGGAAGGAATGGACCAGGAAATTTAAGTGGAGCTGAGCATGTAGCCCCCGTATTAATAACAAATGACATAACCCTGCCAGCTACTGATATTTCCACCCTAGGCTCGGTTGGTTTAATAGTTTGTTCCAAAGATGTTGGGGTTATCGAGCCAGGGGCGAGTCAATCCGACTGGAGCAAGCCCAAGAGATCTCCTTCTGAGATTATGTGAGATGCCTGGTGTCCCTCATTTACAGCAAGCCTCTGGGCCATGTGCTCTCCTCTGGCTAGGTGAACGAGGCAATCATGAGCCCAATGTTCATGCAGTTTGCATTTGGGATGGGGTTTTGCCAGTGGCGGGGCTTGACAGTCTTTGACCATATGCCCATTTTGACGGCATCGGAAACAAACCTGGGAAGGAGCTGTGTACCCCTTCTGCTATCAGCCGTCTGGGGTGGAAGATTATCAGTGGTGGCTCTCCCTACTAAAGCAGTAGATAAGAGCTGAAACTTTTCCCTCTTATGTTTGTGGTCCTGCATTCTTTCTTCCCCCAGGTTGTTAAAGACTTTAAAGGCCGTGTCCAATAGTTCTAGTTGAGGGGTTTGTGGGCCCTTCTCTAATTTTTTGGAGGTTGTGCCTAATGTCCGGTGTTGACTGGGAGATAAAATACATAGCCAAAGGAGTTTGTCCCTCCACAGAGTTTAAATCAATATTAATAAACTGCTGCAATGTCTCAGAGAGGCGACTTAGAAACATTGCTGGATTTTTATCTGGTTTTTGAAAAACCTCTTTTATTCTGTCCTAGTTAGTCTGTTTATTAACACCTTTTGTAGTTAGCTAACAGGATTTATTTACATGATCCCTTTACTTTTGTCTGGGAGGAAGGTTGATATAGTCCCAGTTTAGATATAACTTGAGAGAAATTTATCATAAGAAAACAACAAAGAAGTTCTTTAACATCCTTTTGTCCCAGCCACCCCCTTGAGAAGAGACCTATTAAGCCATGTGGAAACTTGAATGGGTTTTTAAAGTACATGTGGGGGTGGTGACTTGTTGCAGCTGCCACCAGGGAGTTATCAAGCAGTGAGGGGAAGGGGGTGAGAAGGCTGGAGGTTGGGGTCAGGCACCGTGGCCTTTGGCACTGGCCCCTCCTCCAAAGACAAAAGAGAAAGACTGGAGACTGGGGTCAGGTGACCCGGCTGGAGATGCCAGCCCCTCCTTACCAGATAAAGGTGGAGGGTGAGAAGGAGGAGAAACTGATGGAGAGTGGAATAGCAAAAGCAGACTATAGGAGATTTTTCTGCTGGGTTGAAGTCAGAGATAGAGGAGGGAGGTGGCGGCGTAAATGGGATGGGATGGGAAGGGAAGGGGAATCTCTGCCCATTTTTCTGAACACTTGTAGAAGTTATAGAGATCCCGAATAATGTTGGGGCTTAGGGACCCGTAGGGGCCACTTATTTTGGTTGTCTAAGCAATAGGTGGGCCAATTTTGGGTACTGAAGCAGATTAAACTCTTAGGCTTAATATCGGGAGTGAGGGAGAGTTTAGAGAGATTATTTAAGAGGCACTTGAGGGGGGGGAGTCGTCCGGAAGAGATGACGAGTTTCCCATGTTAGCAGTGGGGGCTGGTCAGGGCGTCCCCTGGACAAGCGACCACTGAGGAATGGGAAGGTTACAATAAAGTCTGTCGTCACAGGTCGTTATTGTACACCCGGATTCTCCTGGAGAATCGAGGAGGTTAAGGGCAACCTGGTACCGGGATTTTTGACAAGAAAGTTACCCAAAAC